CATAATTTGAGTGCCTTCTGACCTGAGGGGTTCATCTTCTGGCACTCTATCTGATAATGCTACTTTGATATTCATAAGGTATTCAGTGGTTCATCCCTCAGACGGGGCCAACCTATTTCTTTCTTTCTTTTTTTTTTTTTTTTTGTAGGTGTTTAGACTAAAAGATCTGCCAAAACCTGTTTACCATGAGTGATCCTTCTGGTATTTGAAATTCCAATGACATAGCTTCTAGCCTCACAACAACACACAGGCCACTGCAGTACAAAAAACGTAAAGACAAGTGCTGTACATGGACCAAAAGGCAGTTGTTTGAACAGAATAAGGGGTACTGTATGATTTTTAATCAGGAAAGATGTGTGTCAGGGTTGTATCTTTACATCATACTCATTTAATATGTATACTGAGCAAATAATCAACTAATCTGGACTATTTGAAGAAGAATGCAGCATCAGGATTGGGGAAGAGTTTATTAACAAATTTTGATAGGCAGCTGACACAATCTTGGTTGCTTAAAACAAGGAGAACTTGAAGAACTTGCTGATGACGATTAAGAACTGCAGGCTTCATTATAGGTTGAACTCAATGTAAAGAAAACAAAAATCCTCACAACTGCACCAATAGATAACATCTTGATAAATGGAAAATATTGATGTTGTCAAGATTTCATTTTATCTACATCCACGATCAATGTTTGTGGAACCAGCATTTAAGAAATCAAACAAGAGGTGGGACAAGAGGAAGTAAAAGGACCTAGAGGAAAGAACCAGGAGGCAAAGGACATTTATAGAGCTCTAAATGCAGGCATGACATATGTAAATATATTTATATATAACGAGAGGGGAATCGAACTATGCACTCATGTCTATGTGTTAAGAATTAAGGTTGCAGATGGACATTGGGCCTCGACTCAAGCACACCCTTAACACAAGAAAACTTTGTTCTAATAATTTGGCATTCTATGATGCTCACCTTCCTGAAATGATCGCTGAAAACAAAATGGGTGCATAAGCAAATGTGGTGAAGAAAGCTGATGGTGCCTGGTTGTCAAAAGATATAGCATCTGGGGTCTTAAAGGATTGAAGATAAATAAGCGGCCATCTAGCTGAGAAGCAACAAGGCCCACATGGAAGAAGCACACCAGCCTGTGTGATCATGAGGTGTTGGTGGGATCAGGTATCGGGCATCAAAGACCAGAACAAAAAATCATATCAATGTGAATGAGGGGGAGCATGGAGTGGAGACCCATAGCTCATCTGTAGACAAAATTGGACATCCCCTTACAGAGGGGTCACAGGGAAGAGATGAGCCATTCGGGGTGCAGTATAGCACCAATGAAACATACAACTTTCTTCTAGTTCTTTGGTGCTTCCTTTCCCCCACTATCATGACTTCAATTCTACCTTAAAAATCAGATTACATGAGAATATGCACACTGCTACAGATTAGAGCCCGCAATACAGGGAATCCAGGATAGATAAACCCCTCAGGGCCTACAATGAGAGTAGAGATACCAGGAGAATTAGGGGAGGGTGGGAAGAGAAAAAGGGAATCAATCACAAGGATCAACATATAACCCCCTCCCAGGGGAACAAACAGTGGAAAAGTGGGTAAGGGGCCATGGAGGACGATGTAAGATATGAAAATAATAATCTTTAATTTATCAAGGGTTTCTGAGCTGAGAATATATTGCAATTTATCTTATTCAAATCATGTTTCCCAAAAGACCTTCAATTATTTAACCCACAATAACCCAAAATATAAAATGTCTCTTGACTTCAACGGAAAGACTCTGTTAGCCCAGACCTTACCTTTTCATCGGATTAGGGGAGTATTCTCTCTCCAGATTAGAGGACATATGTTTCACATGAATTGCATTATAGGAAGTGTGAGTATAGTCATTTTCATCGCTGTAATCAGGACCAAGCAATGTCCGAGCCCATGTCCCCATATCATAAGGTGGAAGAGTTCCTCCAAATTCAGAGGGCAAAAATTCAGGGTGTATCAGCTGGTGAAGGCTATTTAAATTGTTCCCATGCAGGAAAATCTGTGGGGGGAGAAGGAAAATTAGCAATAAAAAAATCCGAAACAGATGTCTTGGAAGAAGCATTTTGGTATTAATTGGCCATAGCCCAAATTTGTAATATAGTCTTTTCTAATGATCTCTGCGAATGAAAGGAGCAGTGATACAGATTACCCAAAACACCGGTCGTACTTGTCACGTCAATCTCAAGCAGCCTTCCCTTCTCACTTGTAGAGCTTCTCAGGCCTAGAGCGAGTAGCAGCTTCTTCCTAAATCTACCCCAGTGACCTTGCTCTTCACCCACGCTCTTCATTATCTGTGAACTTTCCTTTAGATAGACTTCCCCTCTGAAGTAGAAGAATTCTTAGGCCAGTAGTGATACCTCTCACAGGTTAATGAGCTTAATTAAGGACCTCAATAAAGTCTTAATCAGACTGAAAACCATTCAAAAACTGAAAATGGGTGATTTATTGTGGGATAATTTTCCTTTTTTTAATGGTCTGGATTGGAAACAAATCCCCAAATATATTTGCATCTTTTAAGTATGTAATGGAGAATGATGAAAGTTGTTGAGCGGGAGAGGATACACCTCCAAATTGCAACTGCTTTCAGACAAAAAGCAAGTAAACCACATTTTGGGAATTGACTCTTGAAATTTAATTTAAAATGTGCCTGTGTAATGGCATTGTGGCATATTTCTGTATGATCCAGGTTCAATATGATAAGGCACATGTAAAGATAAGAAGACAATTATAAATGCATGCATTCACCTTGTCATTTGCCCACATACTACAAGTAATGATGATGGAATATAAATGTGATTTAGAAATACATAAAATCAAGTCTTCAGTAATAAAAACTTGTTATCTTTTCCCATGATGCATTGTTTAAATGGCATCATTTAGAGATTATTGGAACTAAAAGCTAAGTGGTGCATTTTTCAGAAGACTATTCTGGTACTTCCGAAAACCATGTACTTTTAAACACTGGATTTATATATGATTGAATTTGAATAAGAATTATTTCTCTTTAAGAAATGTATTTGTTCAGGCTTTGGGTAGGATGTCTGAGAGGGGAAACTAGCATTAGAATCAGGGAAGAGTGGGAACTAAATATCAGCCCTGGTGTTGAAACCAAATATATGTAAACATTGACACAGCACTGGGTTCTGAAAGGTTGAGAAGTGCTATTGAGGCTGGTCCTCACTTCTGGGGTTCCTGCTCAATGGTCAGAGAAATAAGCGCAGGGGACAGATCTAAGGCCACACAGATTCTGTTTTGTGCCCAGAGATATAGAGACTCTCATGCAGCACAGCAGTAAGGATCTATTGCTTTATGGAAGAAATTCCACTGGGTTACTTCCTGAGAAGACTATGAAGCCAACAGGAATCCTATACTCGACAAGAGATGAAGTTGGCAACTATGATCCATGAACATGAACAAAAGCTAAAGAAGTCATAAACCTTCTTTATAGTTATAACACATTTGCAAGGCAAAAAAGTAGCTATCATTCTGTGTATACGACTATGGTGTACTCAGTATCTCCCACAAGTTTTCCCAGCAAAATGAGCATCTCGTATTTGCATTTCTTCAATGTGTCCTTTATTTTGTCATTAGAACTTGAAAAATAACCCAGTTCTACTGAATTACTGATAAAACGTGGGCCATTTCAGTAGCTCCCGAAAAGCAAAAAAGTTACCATGAAAAAATAAGGAGAGGAAAAAAAGGGACACCATAATGACCACTGTGCATTTCCTACGTAGACTTTTCACAGTATCTTTGTCTCAGTTACCCTTTTCCTTGTCTTGTCTTTAAGGAACGGCTTGATGAGTGTGTAGAGGGCGTGGATGTACCAGGGCTGGTTGACAAAATGGACTCCTCCAAAGCGGGCGGGAAAGCTGTCCTGCAGTGGAAAGAGAAACGCCGATGAGTTAGTGAGTGCCTCGGGTTGAACAGAAGCCAACAGACCACACCCCCAAAGGACAACTTGTTTCATGCCATCTGTTGACACACTGAGGAGTTCTGGTGGTACAATGGTCAAGTGCTTAGCTGTTAAACGGAAAGTCAGTGGTGAGAACTCACAAGCTTCAGTTACTCTACAGAGAATGATGAGGAGGTCAGTATACATAAAGATGGTAGCCTTGGAAACCTGTGAGCAGTTCCGCTCCATCTTCAGGATTACTATGAGTCAGAACAGTGTCCTTATTGTTATAGTTGCCTTTGTTCCCC